AGGGGATGGGAGAGGGAGGGGTAAAGACAAGGATGACTAACAATTACAACACGATAGGGGTTGGCTCTCATTACTGCGCCCATTAACATGCACCAAGTAATTTTCCCCTCTCAGTTTGTGTGTGTGCGCATGAGAGAGGGAGGGAGAGAGAGAGAGAGTGAGAGGGGCAGAGAGTGTGTGTCTGTGCGTGCTGGAGTGTGTGCGTGTGCGCCCAATAGAGTGTGCCCATTAGGTTCTGCAACACACCTCCCCGCCTCCGTGCGCAATCTGCCCGGAGAACCCGGCGGCACCTCATTTCGCTCCCATATGTCTGAGCTCCGCGCGCCTCTCCTCTCTATTCCCAGCCGATCACGATCCATGCAAAGCGATTAGAAAAGAGCCCGGTCAGCGGATCAGACTCGCAGAGCACTCAATAGGTACTAAGCAGCGCCGAGCTCCGACCGATCGCTTATTTAACCTCACACTGCATCAATCTCACCTCAATCTCCCCTGCCCTCGCCGACAGCCCGCGCTACACACGGTCAGCGGAATCGACGGCCGTTTGAATCGGCGCATCATGTGTTCCAATTTTACGCATGGCAATCACGCGCCGAGAGGGAGCGGAGTCACTTGGACATCAGGGAGGTTTTCGTTGGAAATCCTGCTGCTCTTTTAAGAAATCGTTCCTCAGCAAAAATGCGTTCGCTGCGCTCTGAGCCAGGAACATCAAAGTTGCTTTCAGCTCGCCAGTCATTTAGTGAGTCAGTCAGCCAGTCACCACCCCTTCTCTCCCTGCTGCCCGTGGAAAAATGTTCCACGTCTCTACAGCCAAAGTCCCCCTCTGACCCCATCCTCGTTTCATTAGCCTATTGACCGCGCGCCAGGGAAAGAAACATGGAATTCAAATGTGAATCTATACTAATTGAATTGGAATAAAAATAACCACCTTACCCAAATCTATAAACTCGATGGCATGATCACAGGAAATTGTAAAGGGTCCAGGTGAGACAGTAGAGCGCTTTGCCACTTTCAGCTTCAACTCCACTGATTTTGTTAAAAAACTAAACGGGGCAATCCTTTGGAGCCTTCTGTCCAGTTTCCCGGAGCACACAAACCACACTGAAGCAGGGGGTGAGGAGGGCTACTGCCACGCCAGAGCACCAGCCCTCCGGAGCCGGGTGAGAGAGCACAGCTCGCGCAGTAGCGATGTGGTCCAACCTGCCATGATCTCGCCGCGTCCCATCTCAAAAACACACTGAGGAGAAAGTCATAAAAAGTGCGTAATTCCCCCAAAGAGACACCGGGCTGATGTTTTTAGCGAACACTCCACACAAGTTCATCCCCCCTTGCGCGCGACTGTCACGCGGAGGCGTTATAGTCGCAGGAGAGATGCTGATGAGAGTGATGGTATAGCGATGCAGGAGTGATAGTTGCGCTCCCGTCGCTCCTCCCGAGTAGGGATCGATTGGACATGAGAAATGCGAAGCCAGCCCGTCTTCCCCATTCAGAACACGTGCAACAGCGCCCGCCCAGTTCACCAGCTCCCAAGTACACCCCCTCTTCCTCACTGATGTCATGTAGTTTACAAGTAGCCTGGACTGTTGGGGTGGAGGGGAGGGGGTCCAAGGAGAGATGGGATACATCCATTCTTAGACTGCAAAGTGTCATTTTCCGCCATCGTGAAATACTTGACATTGACACTTTTTATGGTTTGTTTCAACTAATTTGCACAAGTTGCAAAAGGAACAAATGGATGATCTTTTTAGACGAGAAAGAAGGGTTTCGACCCAACAGATGGACTCTATTGGGTGTACACCTGGCCATATGCACCGTTTAAGGTTGTCATAAATTCAACATGGGATATATTCTTAAATTAAGAGTAAGTTATATGAGTAGGAGGTCTCTGAAAGGATTATTTGATTGTATTGGCAGGAGTTTGCCTAATAATGATCACAGGCTGGAGGTCATATCTCACACTTCAGTTCTCACCACTTCATTACTTGTGTATAAGGTGTGTGTTGAGTTGAGGAGGGGGTCTGATGATTGTGGTTCTTGCCTGACTGACAGGTGCATGAGTCGAAGGCCCCCTCCTCATCACATTAAAGTCCACCTCGCCTCGACACTTCGATCATGTTACAGATGGTGTCTGGATATCAATAACTTGCCGTGTGCACGGCTATACAACACCCCCTCCACCCCCATCGAGATGTTAAACAGAATTTAATCACCGCCGCCTCTCCGTTACGCACCAGGAGATAGCCTATCAATTATTCCATCCCTAGAATATTCTAGTGTGTTGATGGCGATTGATTGCCTTGCGCTGTATTTGCAGTCGTTAAGACTTAGAGGAGGTCGATGTCTGCTAACGACCCAAGGTGAGGAGTATCCGATACACTCAGATGTCTTCCTTGTTTCCTTGTTGCCAGCATTGCTGTGCCATACGGTGAGCCCTGTGCCAACGGAGGCGTTCTTAGTTGGGAGTAGTTAAAAGATGCGTGCCTTTTAACTTATCTAGGTAAAAAGTGCCTTGCACCATGCAATGTAAAGCATTTCAGGACTACAACGAGGAGCACAGGCATTTATCTTTACAGTAATCTCAAGCATCCTTGTCTGGCACTGTCCTCAACCCCATTTCACTACCTGTGCTGTAAGTTATTTTCTACCCATTAATTTAGTCTCGAATCTATTACAAATCGATCTTCCTGACTTTGAACTGAGAACAGATTAGTCATTGACGTGGCTTCGTCAGGAACAAGGTACACGCAGCAACTTAGGTCGCAGGTTTCAGATAAAAAAGAAAATCAACAACAAAACAGTAAACGCAAGTAAATATAAAGTGCTAGATTCAGCACCATGGACAGGGCCAGTCAGACGCGCAGCATTTAAATTCAGGACGTTGGACAGCTCCAACTGACTGTCACTGTGTTTATCTTTGCGTTTCCTCTGCTGTCAGGTCGCTTAATCCAGGTTGCAGACAAAATAGACAAAAGTGGTTTAACTGTGTAAAGTGTAAGTGAACGGCAGAAAGTTGATCAAACATAATATATCCTGTCTACAGTCCTGAACCTGTGCGTCGCAGTGGGGATAGGAGGCCTTTTATCTTAAAGTGAGGCAGCTAATGGATGCAACAGCCCATAGCACTTATCTCATCTATCCTTCCTCACAAGGGGCCAGATAGTATCAGAGGAAACACATCATGTGACGTAAACACGGACTTTAAAGTGTGAGGTTGAACGGTGTGAAATTTAATTTACTTTCTTTATACTTCCACTTGCATTTCTAGCCATCCATTTTCTTAACGCGTCGGCCTTAAGCAGGGATGGCACGTTAACGGTTGCACAATTGAGCTTATATATTGTGGTATTGTGGGAAAGGTAAGAGTATATATGCTGGCGTCCTCTTGGCGTGTCATATATCAGAGGAGCGGCGTTATAGGATCTCCTCTGGGATTATTCCCCCAATAATCTTCGCCCAGGGAGACAACATTAAGGAAATATCTGCTTATAATTTGAGGAATATTTCTTCCTCCCAAATCAATATCCCTGCATTAATCCCTCTGAAAGACGCAGTATTCCTGATACTGACGCCTGGAAAAGTGGCCTTGGTAAGATGATCGGATTGTGGATTTGTCTGGGTTCAGTGGTGAGAAGTGTTTTTTGAGATAAATTTGATTATGCTAATGATCATTTTGTAAGACCACAAGAAGGACTGGCTGTAAGATCAGCTTTAGGCCATATTTAAACTACTAATGCCATTGTCTGCTGCTCTGGGACCCGCAGTTGTGTAAATAATGGAGCAGAAAGTACATCTGTCGATATGGCTGTTCCAGTGGAAATGCCAGACAAAGTAAAATAGGACAGTCAGGTAAAGCAGACATTGTGTATTAAGGGACACAGAGATAAGTCATTTAACATTTCTGGAGGAAAACACACGATTACTTGCGGCAAGACAAAATAAGGCCACCCAAAGAAGGCTGTCGGGGAAGTGTGGGTGGTAAACCTCCAGCGGCCTGAGGCAGTAAATGTGGGGCCTGTTCAGTAATGATAGGTGAGAAAAAGTGTGCCTGCAACAGCACTAATTACACAGGCGCACAGACTCTGCGCCCTGGCGGCCATTATACGTAAGTATAAGGTTAAAAATGTGCGCACCGCGCCGCATACAGGAGCGGTTGTACTTTGTTTTTTTCACGCTGTATACCTACTTAATGTCAAAAGGTGGGTCTGGTGATCCGATGTGTCTCTTCCCCTCAAATGCTCCATTTTGGATACACCCAGCAGGCAGGCTTTGCGCTAAAAAACAGGACTTGGTCATCGATTTGGGGCCGCCATGAAGGTTAATGAGAATAGACATCTTGGTTCCTCTGCTTTTGATCCCCCCCTGCATAGAGATTCTTCATTTCTTTACGAGGTCACTGGCAGTAACCCGAGCAGGGCCATAAATAGTGTCCATCCCAGACAGGCCCGGTGTCTGTCAATACTCAGAAAGTTCAGACACAACATCCGCAAAGCGCGGGCAGGAGCACCACTGCTGACATCAAACTTGTGATATTGGAGCAAATACACTTAAACAAACACTGTCTTCTTGTGACCCATCGGATATATTTGTGAATAAATTGTTCTTACTCTCAACACTGGAACAAGACTGTCAGGGACGATCACACAGCGCCGGGTGACGATTTGGCCTCATGTGTGGTGTTATACTGCCCCCATGTGGCCATGATGCGTCACTGTTACATTTTTGAGGTTTTTCAGGTCATCCAGATTTATTATGGTGACAGCAAAAAGTGAACTAGTGCCCTTTTGCGAAGAGGCCTTTCCCTCCTTAGACCTGATCTCACTGAAATAATGAAACCCACAGCAAAGAGCTGTCTGGTATCAGCAAGAACTGGCAAGACAGAGGCCTCAGTTTTTCCCCTCCAAGGTCAGACTTCAGAAGATGATTGATTAAATTAAGATGAATTAAATCTGTGATGTCTAATATGTACCAGCACAGACAGGAAGACATGCTTCAGCATTTTTTAGAATTATTTATTTCAAAATATTACACAGCTTTTGAATATGAAATCACCTACAAGTGGAGCAAAGCCCTGACCAAGAAGGTCTGGCCGAGTTAAACATGGTTTCATCAATAAATAAAACATCAAGCTCACGAAGAGGCAGAGAAACACGAAGATGATCTTCTGAGCTCTCAAAATACGCGTGTGCTTTGCATCAGACTGCATGCAAATTGTGCTCGTTCCATTTCAAACTAATTAGTTTAAAATATGAAACTAACAGCATTCAGAAAGCTTTAACAAAGGTAACAGACACCTGCAGCACCCTCATCATTACGCCATGCTGACAATGCATTTCCTTTGGTAAAATGCAAAGGAAGGCAATGGCATATTCCATCAAACCAACAAGACATACAGACGTTTAAATAATAAATGTTACAGATGTAAAAGAAAAACCATAAAAACTGTAAATAAAAACGCAGAAATAAAATGTAGACTAAAAAACCCATTTACGTTATTTTCAATATGTTGCATGAAACAATGGAGTGTTTAATTTTACTGACAAATACTTGAATGTTTGTTTCACAATGCAAAGTGTTTAAAAGTAATGCTGAATGCTACTGATATAAAAGAAAATCCCTCTTGGCAGTAGGAGTGTCTTACCTTCTGTCCCTGATTTTTTAGAGTCGTTTGTGTTTTTGATGAACATACCGTAAAACCATATGAATTCACATGGCAAACTACCTGCAAAAAAAAGTCTGCAACTATATGTGAATGAATCCAGCATGTGAATACTGCACATCATATTAGACTGGCGTATGCTGGATGTGCTAAACTCTGGCGTGATTGTCAACAGCTCTGAAGAGGCTCGCATCAAGGTGACTCTGATCAAATGTGACAAGATGTCGCATGTGAAGGGACGCCGCAACAGCTGCTCATTAGCTAACTTTGTCGGCGTGGAATGAAACAGACGCAGCGGAGGTAATGAAGAAACATAGAACACATCTTATCACTCTCCAGATGTTTCGACTGTGCGCGCCTCGTCCTTTAACTGATTTGACACTAATGGAGCTTGTGGAAGCTATTCAACCCAGAGTTGTCTGCCACACTGCTTGCACCCATCCAGACCTGTCAAAGAAATAGACAGGAGGTGACAAATACTCTACCAAACCACCAATATCCACTGGTGGATGAGGTAACTTTTTTTTTTAAATGACTCTGCCAATGTGAAGAAGCGGCAGGTTCATGTCAAAAGTTCTTCTGTGCCCCACACTCACAGAGACTCTAGAGTTCATCATGAAGGGTACGATTCCGCCATTTGGGGTGGTGTGTGACGTAATCAGCAGCCTCCAGCACAAGGCGCATGAACTCCCCCACATCAAAGGAGTAGTTGGTAAACTTGGGATGGTCCCCAAGGGTTGGATGGTGACCCTGAAAGAACAGTGTGTACTTTAAAAGGACAGGAAAACACAGCATGAAAGCATAGGAATGTGAGCGTTTAGATTAGACGACAGAGAGAAAACACAAAAGAGGAATGAAGTCTGTGCGTGTGTTCCGCTGTACCGATAATTGCACATCCTCAAATGTGTGCATGAGAGTGTATGTGTGTGTGTATGTGTGTGTGAGATAGGTGAGATGAATTCAGAAAGCTCACGCCGAGGTGCCGGGGAGCTAATGGCTGGTACGGGAGTTTCCCCTACCTTGTCCTGTGGGAGCACTTTGTCCATTTTCTGCCAAGTCACGTATCGAATGCCCCGCAGCCGAGCCAAATCTCGATAGCAGCTCTCATCCTGACAATTATATCTGGGAGGGACAGATGCAGACACTTTATCTCTTGCTCTCCTCGGTCTGCCTCACTTTCGCTCTTTCTTGCTCCATCTTTTTCTCTCTCTCTCTCTCTCTCTCTCTCTCTCTCTCTGTATACACACTGTGGTTCCAACTCTGTCAATTCACCCGGTACCATTGCACACAAAAAACACTCCACACATGTTCATACACAACACACACACACACACACACCACACACACACACACACACACACATTCCAATCAGCTCCACTACCCAGGGTAGCCAGGTGTGATGAATGCCTGGTTAATTAGACACTACTTCACAGTCATACACCAAGTGTCTGAGGGGCACTTTAGGCACAGCACCATGCCAAACCCGGGCTCCCTGCTCCCCTTTCTGTCTGTCACTCACACACACACACAGACAGACAAAAAGTGTCACTCACAGCTCAAAGATGACAGCCCAGTCAGGGAGGAAGAGGAGGTGTGTGAGACCCGCCCCGTGCATCCCTATAAAGATGTCAGAGTTGTGGGTGATCCTCAACTGCACCAGGAAGGGAACATCCCTTTAAAGACAGACAGGAAGTCACACATCAATCACCTTCATTGTGTGAACACTGTCACTATTAGACAATTTAAAAAGCTAAACACTTTCTTTACTCTAATACAGCACTGTTACATCCTTGACCAATGGTAAACAGCATTGAGTAGCTCCTGTAGTAATGTGGCAAGCATGCTATAACTCACTTGTATTTGTAGTCCACCACATTGACCTCCAGTAAAGGCACAGTCTTGAGGGCATTTACCAGCTGTAAGAACAACAGAGGTACATGTTCTCTGATCAATGAGAAAGCAAACAAATATCGGCACTGACCATATAAATCACAAGCCTTTTTTACTTGTATTGTTTATAGCAAATAAGATTTTAAATAGGCACTTAACAGACCTGGGCAGTAAATCAATAGTAGAAAGGAGGAGCTGAGGGGGGAGCTGTATAAAGTGGGGAAAGAGACAGAGAGGCAAAGAAGGAAAAGGAGGACAGGTGACAGAGCAGGATGGAGAGAAAAGAAAGCAAGTACAAGAAAGTAAGAGACAGAAAGAAGGAGGGAGGGTGGTGCTGGACTCACCTCCACTTGGTTTAATATCCTTCTGTATTCTGTGCTGCGTGCCAGCAGGGTGACACGAACACGCCCCTCCTGAAAACAGCAATGCACCCAATAATCAATCAGCCAAGGACAGAAAAGATAGGCGGCTGGGAAAACATGATGCTCATTCAAACTAACTGAAAAGCCTCTACTTATAATGTCTCTCATACAGCACAGAGGAAAGGATAAATGGGCGAAAATTCTATTACAAGGAATCTTTTTAAAGTGGAATCAAAGGTTTTCCTCTGTGATGTGCTCTCATTAGTTAATACAGCGTTTACTAAGATGTTTCTTTTTCTATATTCTTCTACTGCCACCTTGTGTTCTGAAAGAGAATATAGATGTTTGTAACATATGGGTAATAAGGAATGAGGACCATAACTTCACTATCCTTAAATCAAAGTAACAGCAATAACAGCAACTTACAACCTGTGCAATCTAATGTACATAATAAACCTGCCAAATGACGGCTAAACACCTAACTATAAGTGGACATATATGTATTTAACACAACCCTAATTTCTTCTCTTCCACTCAAAAAATATATTAGGTATTAAGTATTGAAAAAGACCAGACCAGGGCAAATGACAACGTGGGAAATAGGAGAGGGGCAGTAAAGACAGATGAATAGGACACAATAGAGGAGAGCAGAAGTGTGAGTCTCTGACTGTGCCATTAATCTAGGGATGAAAGGAGGAGCTGGGGAGAGGGTCAGGGCCGAGAAGACCTCTCATTCAGTCGGCAACCTGCTATCGCTAGCAGCCCCATGTCTTGCTGAAAAGCCTCTTAGCATATTTCCAGTGAAGGCCATGAATACCCAATGAGCTGCTCCACAGTACGGAAGAAGTTATCGGCCTTTGCTGCTCATAAAGATAGAGTCAAGCACTTCAAACCTAGGATCATAAAACACCTAAGAGGAACACTGCTGAGTTATAGACGTGGGAGATGAATAAGGGAGTGAGTGCATGGCTGTGACAGTATGTAAGTATGAGTGCATGTACAGTACGTATGCATGTAGTCTTTCAAACACTACAAGGATATCCATCAGTGAGGAGCTTTTTCTGTGAGTTTATCACAGTAATGAGATCACCAGTGAAGTCTGGTTGTAGTGAGTGTAGTGACATGGTTGCTTATTCTGCTATTTAATATAAAACTTCCTCCAACAACCTGATCTGTGCTTTAAAATGGCATGGAAAGCCTGATCAGTAGAAGATACAGATTCAAAATACAGGCGTAGAAAATTATAGCTCTTGTTTTCTATTTCCCTTTGAAAAGATTATTAATTATAATAAATTGTTATTATGGGATAGAGGCCAGAGTAATACAGTATTATTGTCCATTATTGTACGTTATGAAATATACCAAAGTAACACTATTCAACTGGGTTATACAATATTGGACAACTGCTTCAAAAGCAGCCAGTATCATCCTGTTAGTCCAGTGGTTTTGAGTCAGCACTCTTAAGACAGCATCCCCAAGTTGCCAAGTCTCGGCAGGGCAAACATTTTGTGATGCATCGCAAAATTATCTTGTCCATAAGGAATAGAAAGTCCAGAAAAATAGTAAAAAAAAAAGAAAATCGATGATTGAACCATCAGGCTGTTCTTTCGTTCCTGCGACCTAAAACATTACCATCTAGTCTGCATGTTAGATCACTCCATATCTTAGAAGTCAGAATCCACACCAAGGCGTAGTTAAGGCTATTAAAGATTAATCATGATATTCAACAAAGATAGAAAGCAGATACACCAGTGTAACCAAAGTGTAATCAAATGGTTTATTTTTGTCACACACTTATGTGACATCTGCACTACATAAACATGAAACCTGTGTCAAAAACATGTTGTTCCCTGACCGG